CCAATAAATCGTCAGTAATAAACCAATCTTCTCCCAAGATGGATGCCAATAAAACTTAGCAAGGGTTGAAAGCTGGTTGAAGTAGAACTATCTTTCAAGAATGTCTAGAAAACAACGAGGGAGGGAGCTTTACAGACCCCCCTCCACCACCTTGTTTAGGCTACTTGGGATCTGGCTGACTGAGGCCGCCATCTGGCTACAGCCGGGCTGGGAGTTTCCTGCCCCGTGACGATGGCCAGCTTCACGTGCCTCTTACTCTGCAAAGCTGCACAGCCCGAGCCGCCCCCTGGATGCAAGACCAGTAGGGTGCAATGGCAGCAGAAGTCTTTCTCGGGATTACTCCAGGGGTGTACTCGGGGAGGGGGTCCAAAAAAGGCAAGATGGTGGCCGCAGGGTCAAAGCACTGCCCCTTGATCTGCCCAAAGAGCGGTGGGGCTTCGGCCCACAGGGACACCCCTGGGTTATTCCCCATCTATCCCATAACTTGCTCCTTCAGTTTGGTAGCAGTGTTTAGAGGGGTGCTCAGGGGCTTTGCGACTGCCCGTGAGGTTTGGGCCCAGGTGTTCAGTGCGGCCCAGTCTGCCCAAGGCTCTATCCCAGCCTCCCAGACATAAATCCCACCGAATTCAGTGGGGCTCACCCCCACGTGCAGCTCCAGTGCCGCGATGTGGTGGACTGTCTGAACCCAGCCTCTTGGCAAGCGGGCCAGCCTCTAGGTGCCCTGGAGCTGTGGTCTTGGCTTTGCTGGCACAGATTGACTGTTGCAGGCCACCTGGAAGCCCCTGCGGGACAGCTGGCTCTTGCTGCAAGGCTGAGGCATGTCTGGAGGGGTCCTGGGCTCAGAGACCTCTTCCTGGCACTGCTGCGATTAAACCAGGAAGAAGCATGGGCCTTGCAGCAGATGACTCAATATTTCTTGTCCTCGCAACAGTTAATGTTTACAAGACCCTGGCGACGCTTCCCCCTTTCGGTCTCTGCCCCCCTGCCTGCTCTGGTCCCACCACATTCCTGAGCCTGTGGCGGGGGGATCACGGAGGGCAAAAGGAGGGAACAGGCTCCATGGTGCTGTTTGCTTTCAAGGCAGCCAAGAATCTCAGTCCTTCCCACCCCTCACCCCCCGCCTGCCAAGCCACACAACCCTCCTTCAAGAGACCTGGAAACCTGAACCAGCTGTAGGGGGGACTCAGAGAGGCCCCACTGGTAAGTCTGCTTGGATTGGATTCCCCAGAGAGCCTCAGAGCTCCAGGCACCATGGGGCCCAGCTCCTTTCCTGCCTGGAGTTGGTCTTAAATCCCCCTGCCTGGCACCCACCAGCACTGGCTTCTCCCGCCCTTGGAGGCCCTGGTTGTCCCCAGAAGTCTGAAAAAACTGAGACTGAATCCTAATGTTTAATAGGATGGTAGGGGGGAAATATGAGATGTCCAACTGGAGAATAATCATTTAACATCATTCAATATAGCTCCAATCCACTTTCATTCTTGTCCTGACCCCACTTACTCCTTTTTGCAGTAGGGCTCCTCAGGCCCCTCAGTGGCCAAGGGTGGACCTCAGCCTAGGAAGAGCTGCCCGGCTTTGGTCTAACTGGAAGAGCCTCACTCAGTCCAGGAGAGCCCAGCTCCCGCTGGGATGGCCCAACTGCCTCAGCACCAAGCAATTCCACTCCAGGTCCTGCCAGACCTCTCCCTGGTCTACCTGCTGGTGACTGGGTGAATCCTGGAAGTTCAAGGACCTCCAGCTCCTGAGCAGCAGTGGAAGACTGAGCCCAGAACCAGGGAGAGGTTTGGCCGGCTTCAGTGGTAGATCACAGGTTTAGCTCGACCAGCATCCAGGCCTTGGCCCTGCTGGATAAAAGGATCAGGGCAGGCAGTGATGGGCGTAGAGACTCTGCTCCAGATCTTGGAGCGCTTCACAGAAACCACGGGCATGCTTGCCCTAAAGCAGCCTAGCCCAGTATGGTCTTCTCTTGGACTACAGTTCTCATCATGGCTGTTGGCCACCACAGATGGGAAGGGCGGGGGTTTGGTCCCAGGTGTCCGGAAGGCGCCAGGCAGAGCCAGGTTACCCTAAGATCATTGCTGCCCCATTCTCAATTCCACAACTCCCAGGTGGCTTTCAGCTTGGCCTTTGGTACCACAATCCCCTTAGAAGAGAAGGAATAAGACCGAGACGAAGAGGAGCGAGAGGAGGCAGAAAGGCCCCCTCAACAAGCAGCCGAGGAGAACCAAGGCGGTAAAAGTCCCAGGGAGAAGCGCTCCTCGCCTGCCTCCCGAGCAGTGGAAGACTCTGCCCTGGAGACACTGCGCCTGACCACGTGTCACAGGACAGTCCACTTCTTCTCTGCTTTTGACCACCACCGTAGCCCCTCTCCCCTGGTCTGGTCTTGAGGACGCTCCCCAGGTCTCATGGCAGGGTGTGGTCAAAAAAGTCAGTGAAGATGTGATTGAAGCTCCACACACGATGCACATGAGAAACGGGTGGGGCTTTGATCACCCCACTCTGGCCATCCTGTGCTCTGATCACGTCCTGCAGACAGCCCCGTTGCAGGGATGCAGCGTCCGAGGGGGCTGGCTGCGTGGCCAAGCACAGGAAACCCCCGTCTCTCCCAAGTTCATGTTGTTCATTCCAGGCTGGGAACTGCCCCGCCTCACCTGCACACAGTGGGGTTTGGGCAGCTGCATCAGTTCAGTGACCTGACTCTCCATCAGCCTTCCTCAATCAGGTGTCCTCCAGATGTTCTGGGAGTGCCACTCCCAGAATCTACAGGCAGAACGGGGTCGGGCACTGACTGTGCAAGGACGAGCAGAGCTGGGTGGGGAGGCCCCTGGCCTTAATTCATTGGGTGCAGCAGGGTCTTCCAGATCCAGGGGCTAGCAAAGGGGTTCCTCCCAACCCAGGGAAGCTTCGTTCAAGGGCCATTTCCCCCTCACCTGAGCCCCTCACACACCCTTGGGCAGGTTGTTGGGCAGCTCTGCACTCACCAGCAGTCGATGCGGGCCCGGCCCCCAGGACCCCCAGCAGGATCATCCCAAGCAGAAAGAGGAGTGTACTCTTCATGGTGCTGCTCGGGAAGACAGCCTCCTGCTGGGCGAGCAAAGCAGGCATATAAATGGCTCCTTGGCAGGTGGGGGGAGAGAATCGGGGGAGGGAGGGACAGTTCCAATGTGTGCTTTGCCAATGACTCACAGTTAGTCCCCCTTCCAGGCAGCAGATCTCCTTGCCTTGCCTTGCCTGAGGCATTTGGGCCCCAGACATGCATTCTCCTTCCCCACGCAGCTCCCTTGCACTCCAGCCAAGCCCACCCTATGTCCTCCACCACCACCTGGGCCTGCGCAGCTTGTGCCAATAAAGTCCTCCCGCTGGCAGGCTGCCCACTGCAAGGATAAATGTGCACCCTGCTTCCTCAATCTGCAGAGAAGCACAGGGAAGCACAGAGGCCTTCCTGGCCCAGCCGGAGCCCCTTCTGAATGAGGGGCTGCACCCATCGCCCAGGAGGGGCCTTGCGATCTCAGCATTCTCTCACCTGCCTGAGTCCAGACTGAAAAGGAAGAACTTTCCCTCGCTTGCATCCTCCCCGTTCTTCTTTCACCTGGCATCCATTTTGAACTGAGATACCTGAGGTGGCCCATACCTGGCCACACCTAACCTGCCTCTTGGAAAGATCTTAGCTAGAGATGTCCCAACCCCCCGACATGGTGCCCGTTGTCTGTGCCTCCCTCTCCATCATCCTCTTTCCCCCCCCTTTTATGTGATTCTGTCTTAATGAGAGGAATGAACATTTTCTCAACTGTTTGGAACATTGTCCATCCAGGGAAAGTCCTTCTGGAATGGATTGACTCTCCTCCAAGTCTGGTGCCCTCATACTCTTAGCCCTCAACCACTAGGGTTCAGAGCTATTGGCGTGGCACTCGGCCACGGTCATCCCTCCCGGAAACTCTTTTAAGGAATCAAAGGTGGTTGTTGGTAACCGTGAGATCTGCCCTGTAACGCAGGGATGCCCAGTGGGGCAGGCAGGACCCAGCAGGGGTTTGGAGACTCAGCTTTCTCTAAGAGCCTGCGCCAAGTGACTTTGGTGTCCAGAATGGCTTTGGGACAGGGAACGTGACCATCCTTTCAGTGCAGGCTAGAACAGCCCAAGTACAGCCATTATGACCCACTCAGCTGTGGTGGTTTGTATGCCACAGCAGAGTCACGATTCTCCTGGATCTCACCTTGCATGTCTGCATGGCGGCATCATAGCTACATGTTGCAAGCACGGGAAGACTAAACTCTCGAGATGGAATGATGGCACCAGAATGCCACGGCTGTCTTCACACAACACCAAGACTAAAAGGGGGTTGAGTCCACATGTTGTGGGGGAACTTTGAAAGCTGGGGCAACAAACTCCACATTAAACAAAAATGCTTATTTCTTTGGGCATCTCTTGCTATGGGAATGCAGCCATCGTGTTTCATCAAGCTGGATCTAGAATGCGTGTGAACCCAGTTTATGAATCTATGTGAAATCTTGAATGGCAGGTGTGAAATATCCCTGGGTGATATATGATCAGCCCTGCCAGGAGGAGGAAGGAAAGGGGACGCTTCCCCCAAGTCCCTCCTGGTGGCTTCATGGACACAGGAAGGTATGGTATGGACCCCACTGGCAAAAGGGTGTCGACTGGCGGGGGGTCCATACCATAGGGTCCAGAAGGAGAGCCTTCTCTGCCGTTGCCCCCACCCTATGGCATATTCTCCCCTCAGAGGTGAGGAGGGCCCCTACTCTCCCAACCTTCCGGAAAGGGGTGAGACCCGGCTCTGCGACTCGCGTGGGCAAGAAGAGGGGCAACCAACCCTGGGGGGTAGCTGGCACCTTGAAGATGCCCCCATGGGTTAATAACCTTTATTTACCATCAGTATCTTGGAATACACTATTTATGTATGAACATGGTTTTTTATTGTACTTTAATTAATATTTATTCTTGTTTTACTGTAATCCGCCCAGAGTCACTCTTGAGTGAAATGGGCAGTGACTACATTTGAAATATACATACATAAATACATAAATAAATAAATATCCACGTTGGTTTCCAGCAATAGAGCCAAAGTGGTTTGCAGAACTCGGAATGATCCAGGGGTGTCAAGATGGCAGCAGCAGAACAGGCAGAGCTCTGATCACACCATTGCAGCCACGGTCTCTCCCTTCCCCTTGTGAGGAGAAAAAATGATCTATTAATACTTAAGGTCTTTGTTAACTGAAACATACTAATAAAACTAGCTATAAAGCAATACACGCTAACACCAAATAAAACAAGTTTACGGAGCGATACATAAAATTGCTACGTGGACTAAAGTTTTCAGTCATGGACAGGAAGCCGGAAAACAGATGGACAAAGTAAAGTGCTGATGAAAGGAGTGTGATAAGAGAAAGGAGCAGGAAACTGGTGTAAAAGTAGCACCAAGGACGGAGTTGAGATTGTGGTTTGTGGCTTTAAGCGATAAAAAGGGATTGCTGACTGGGGGCCGGGGCCACTCGGTTTCAAGCGGTCCATCTTGACCGCTTCCCCTGCTGGTCCTCATTGCAGTGTGATGTTATGTAAGTATGTTATGGTTTTGCCCGTTGAACTGACTTTTAATAAAGTTTTAACCTTTAGAACCTTGAAGTGGTCGGTGTTTTGGTGCGCGCGTCTCTCGTGCTTGACGAGGTTTTCCCCTGACGCTCTACCTGAGCCGTGTATTTTAATCCCGCTTTCAGATCCTGGCTGGTATCTTCTGTCCAGCATACCGTGACTTGAAGCCAGCATCACGCAGAGGAGACGTCACGTTCTTGCTTAGGGAAATTATCGCGGAGGAAGATGCAATACGTCCACCCGAATTTCTATGAGGACAGATGGAGGCAAAGTAAAGAGTGGAAAAAGGAGCTGATCAGGAAACAGTGCGAATCACCGCATGGCATTGCCTAGAACTCAGGAGCTGTAAAACTGCTCGGCTATTGATCCTCCTGCTTCATGGACTGCTGTGGACTGGAAGTGGAGTAAAGTTGCTCCTCTTTATCACTCACTTGTGGGGGACGGCATCTGGAAAGCAAAACCTTTCCCAGCGATCTTCTGCAGTTCCTCACGAGCGCTCTTTATGCTGCGACGTAATCTGCAGCTTTCTGGGTCTACTCCAATTAATTGTGATGGTCTAAACCAGGGTTTCCCAACCTTGACAACTTTAAGATGGGTGGACTTCAACTCTGGCTGGGGAATTCTGGGAGTTGAAGTCCACCCATCTTAAAGTTGTCAGGGTTGAGAAACCCTGGCCTAAACTGTCATTCCATTGTGATTAACTTTAAGACGAAATTTCAGACCGGCAGCTTCTGAAGCTAAAATGTTTGGATTTTATGTGGCAAGAAAACGCTACCCTTACAGTGAACCTTTGCCGAATTCTAGAATGACACACTTTGCATTGTATCAATACTCACCTAAAGCAGTGAAACCCGAGAGTAATTTTCACTTGGTGCTTAACTACTGTAATTACATTCTTTTAATGTCATATGGTTAGCTGTTATTGCTTACTTACGCACACCACCCAGAATCACTTTGTTTGAGTTGGGCGGCCCTATAAAGGCATTAAGTAAATAAATAAAACAAAGTAAATAATTTACCAAATTCCCAGGATGTGCTTGCGTGGCCTTCTACAGCGATTCCATAGGAGGGCATATCTCTGTGTCGCTGTGGACTGCGATGGCCCTGCAGGGTCCCCAGCCCGGAGGAGAGAGACTGCCAACCTGGCTGCAGGGCAGAAAGAAGAAGAGGGGGCACTGCTGATGCCTCCAGAATCCTGTGGAGGGAGGTCAAGAGGTTGGGTGGCCAGTTTTGGGGACAAACACTGGCTCTTCGGAGCCAAGCCAGGCAGGGTGCCAGAAGGGCAAGCTGAGTTCTGCTGTGCCTATCCAGGTGCAGTGGCAGACCAGTGGGGCAGGGGGAGGGCAGGGCAGGGGAGCTCCAGAAACAGGGCCAGATGAGTCAGAGGTGAGGCCGCCACGGGCTGGTAGCACCATGGAGAGCACCTTGTGGGCCCTTGAAGGATCACGCTCACCTTGCTCCAGTTTCTGAACCCCAAAGAGGGGAGAGAACAGGATGCCACCTAGCCCATGGCCCTCCCACGCCTTCCCAACCTCTCCCATGCAGCCAGAGGACTGAAGCAAAGGCGGGCACAGCTCCCAATGCAAACTGGGCACCTGCTGCTAGAGCCCTGGAGCTTGCGAAGGATTTCCTGGAGCTCAAGCAAAAGCAAGTCCAGGCCTCTGCTGGCATGTGGGGAAACACAGGGGAGGGTGGGAGCAGACCTGTTCAGCTCAGCACCTGAAGGGGGGATCTTCAGGAGAGCAGATTCCAAGTAGGGGCGACTTCCCAGGGCACTTAAGCTTGCCTCCGCGTTGAATATGACCATGATGCCTAGGGCACGATTGCTTTAGACCAGCGTTTCTCAACCTTGGCAGCTTGAAGATGTGTGGACTTCAACTCCCAGAATTC